TGTTAGGATAGGACAATATTTGGCTGAGATATAACTATTTGAAAATCTGAAATCTGAGGGTGAAAAAAAAAAAATCAAAATATTGAGAAAATAGCCTTTAAAGTTGTCCAAATAAAGTCCTTAACGGTGCATACTACTAAAGAAAAATTAAGTTTTGATATATTTATGGTAGGAAACTTACAAAATATCTTCATGGAACATGATCTTTTTCTTAATATCCTAATGATTTTTGGCATAAAAGAAAAATCAATAATTTTGACCCATACTATTGCTACATACTACACCCATGGCTATTGCTACAAATATACCCGTGCTACTTATGACTGGTTTTGTGGTCCAGGGTCACATATATTATCAAATTATTAAATTAAATTAAATTAAATTAGAATTACAGAATTAAAACTATATATTTATATTAAACTATATATTACATTAATTTTTAATTAAATTAAATTAATAATTTATTACTTTTGTTTTTTGGGTGAAATTTCCGGTAAAAATAAACATAAATAAATACATACATCAACAATCAATCTGAGGGTCACAGAGAGACTCCTTAATCATTGTTTACAAGGTTGCTGACAGACCACTGTTTTTATTAATATCCAACAAAAAAACAAAATGTTTGCCCAAAACCCGAGCAAACAAATTCTACCCTAATGTTCCTTTCTGTTGATGGTATTAGACTGCTATTCAAAAACACGGTCCAGCAAACTCAGCATCTATTCTAATGGATTCAATTCAAAACTGCGTCTTTTTCGCTGTCTATTTGTGTTAGCAGCTGCATTTGTTTTGATTGCATTAAATCAAAAGCACTTTAAAAGGCTTTACCTGAGGGACGCAGATGCTGTGCTGCGGCTATAATCTTTTAATCTATTAACATTTCATTCCACTCACAACAGCCTTTAGCTTGGCAATGGACTCCTGCTGCACCAAACCCACGCGTCCAGTGAGCACATCTCTATGGATGGACTCAGTATTAAAGTAAAAAAATGCAGCTAATTTACTAAAGAAACAATTACCTTCGGGATGTTAAAAAGGAACAGTTTCTCCCTTTAGAGAATGTCAAGGAAAAACTGAAAAATTTCTTTTTCAAATGAAGAACCAGGTCAGGGCATTAAAGGGGTAGTTCACCTAAAAATGAATATTCTGTAATTCTATTATTTACACTCACATGGCATTCCAAACATGAACGACTTTCTTTTTCCTCCATGTGACATGAAATAAGATATTTAGCAGAATGCTCATGCTGCTTTCGTCCATACAAATGATAGCGGGTGGCAAAAATCATACACTTTGCCGCAATTTCGCTTTGTTGTATCTCATTCACACATATTTAGAATGAGTTCGATGTCTATGACCTTTAATGTCTTGTATATTTATGACTCAGTGTAATGCAACAAATTTGACTATGCAATGACTTAAATTTGACTACTTTTACTACACTAAAACAAATGGGAAAAGAAATGCACATTTAATTGAAAGTAAATTTTTAAAGTAGAGAGACTGAAATAGACTTTTCTTATAAAACATATATATTTTACAATGTAATATGGACTACTTTTATGGTGCTGTTTTGGTCCATAATATTTTTGTGGAGTCCCAAGAAAGTAAGTCATACAGGTTTTGAACGACGACAGAAATTTCAGAAAGAAATTTATGGCAGAATTTTCAGTTTTGGGTGAACTATTCTTGATTTTCCTACAGATACACACACAAATCTTGCTAATCATCTCTCTGCTGTCTGTGCTGAAGGTTAAGGGGTATTATTTAGGACAGGTAACTTACATGCCACCGTCTCCCAGCTCCTCGTAGAGATTGGTCGGAGCGCCACCTCCTGTTGATTTTCCGGCAGGAAGAGCCATCTGGATACGGGCAGTTTTGGCACACTCGGCCTGCCTCCTGTAAAGCACCCCCAAAGAGTGAGTTTCCTTCATTTCAAAAGGCTCATTTCAGCTCTATTATAGGAGGATATGAGGTCTGGAGCTCCGGCAACTCTCATTTGATCTGTTCCAGCACTTTTTATTCATGCAATGCAAAATATCATGGGTTATTCAGCACCTTTCACACTGAGATGAGGTGTTTTATTAGGAGGGAGCTGAACCCGGCTCACTTTCTACTCTATGAGACCATGAAACCAGTCATTTCTGTTCATTTTCAAAGGCATCGCTATTGTGCTGGAATCAGAGAGGGCTGGAGTGAGTATGTCCTTTGCGTCTCATCTCAATTCAAGATTTCTACTCGTATGTTTCTGTTATAAAGGACTGAACCGAATAACGAGGGTACGAAGGCACACAGTCTCCGGCAAATAATTCATCAAAAAGAAGAATTTGAACTTACTCTTTGAATCTGAGCGCAGGGTCCACATGCAGTGACAGGAAGTGCAGGGAAAGAGGAAGAAGAAAGGAAAATGATTAGATAATTAGGCACAGGAATAATTCAACGAAACACAAGCAATGTAATATCATATAATATACCCACAGACCAACAGAGGACAAATGGTTTAGAAAATGGATAGTATAATAAGGATAATATATAATGGATATAACAGATAACATTGAATACTAAATATGAATATAAATATATAATTTAAAATTAATTATACTCTCTGACCTGTATGTAAATGCCTTAAAAAGGGGTTTCTAACCACTCTTTTTCCAGAAAATATTTCTATTGCACATACATGAATTGCCATACGTAATTGTCAATAACTTGGTTAATCAGCTCATTGTGTAATAGATCATGATCTTAATTCATATTTTTAATCGACTGGCAGTCCAAACTCTAATCTCACAGGTCAGAAAATGCTCATAGTGTTGAACCATGCAGCCCATTTTGGTTGCTGCAGGTCTGAGTGCATAATTCATGCTGTAAAATGTGATAAGAGCACAGGATAACCCCGGTTTATCCCACATCTCCAGAGCTGGGAAACAATACAGCTCTCAGCAGCACCCCCTCTCTGTCTCTCCAGCTCTCTATTCTCCTTCCCATCTTTGTATTTCATACACACACTCTCTCATCCTGACCCTGGGCTTCCTGGAGGCTATCAAAGATGCGCTCCTCTCAATACTATTTATTTAACCAGAATGCAATTACTCGAAACACAGCGTGAGATCTCGTAATGTGATATATAAGCTCACACTTGTGTCTCCTTTTACGCATCTTTAGTAAACAACCAAATGAAACGACATAAAAATGTCACTTCACCTTTAATACAAGAGTCTAATCACAAACTGAACTCTTTAATATGCGTCAAAACATCTGAATGCAGTCATGCATGCGTGTGTGCGTGCGAGAGCGAGCTCCACACACGTACTGTAGGTGTGTGTGTTTAGCTGTTTGTGTTCGCTCTATGATTACCCATCTGTTATGTATTTACACAATAGCTGATGACGGTCTCATTGGTGTGTGCAGAAGGTCAGGACCACACTCACGTCTCAGAGGAGCTGCTGTGTGTGGAGAGCAGGCCCATATGCTGGGCTTTCATGAGTAGATGTGACGGATGGATCGAATGCCTGGGATATGTCACAAATGCTTATAATTAATCTGCTTTCACACAGAGCTGGCTGGGAGATTAGCCTGTTAGCATGGCTAATTACTGAAAAAAGCCATTTTAATACCTGGCATCCAATACTCATCTCCCTCACCTACTGTGTGTGTTTTTTTCAGCCTGTCCTCAACGCTCTCAGAACTGTAGAGGTTACAAATAGAGACACGCAACTGTAGAGTAAAACGTCTTCATGTGTGTACAATAGCAGCTCTGAGATGGAAGGTACACGAAATATGCTGTCTTTATTATGTTAAATGTTTATATACTTCTTAACTGCTAGCTAAATGTCTACTAGTCTTGTAATCATAGTTAACTTTTGACTATTGACAAAATTCACGTTTGCAGCTTATTCTGGCTAAGAATCTCACAACTTAGAAAAGCAGCTGTCGAAACAAGATGTATAATGTATCTATGATGCATAACATTTGTGAATATAAATGATATATATAGTTACATAAGGGGGATGCGGTTTAACAAATCCCATTTACCATAGTCATGAAGAAATATGAAGGGAATATGAAGAAACATACATAAAAAAGAGCTTTTTGTGATAATTTTTGTGTGCTATTTTACACCTTAAAAAAAGCAAATACATTTAGAAATAATAATAACATTATTATTATTATTATTATTATTATTAAGTTTTTTAATTAACTGGCTGTCTAATACTAAAAATACCATGTGACTGTCAGTAGCACACTTTACTTTACATATTTTACTGTGGGTAAATTAAGTAGTAAGTAAATTCAGTCTGAAGAGACTGTTTTCTGCAGTGCTAGAATATAGTGTTTTGCTGAATTGATAAGCTGTTCAAAACCGCTGAAATATGCGACTTATGATTATGATTGGGAACTGACATTAGACAATTCGACAGGCAGTCAATCACAGCTGTAAGGATTTTCTACTCACTGTTTGTACGTCACCATGACGATGAGAATAGCATAATCCGTGGGCACGATTTGTTAAACCGAGGGAACAGTTTAAGAATTCGTGAGTACGGTTTATAAACTGAGGGGACGGATTGCAAAACCGTCGCCACGGATTGTTTTTTTTTCTCCTACAGGTGACTTCCCGGGCTCTGTATAATACAGCAACTGTATGAAAGAAATTGAAATGCATTGAAAAGAAATTGTGACCAAATTAAAAAATAAAATAAATACTGCAAATAAAAAATAATAATAATAAAATCATAAAGCAACTGTAGGAATGAAACTGAACTATACTGAAAAACTCATTTGTGATTATATTAAAAATAAAACAATACAATTAAGTATACAATTAAATTAAATTTAAAGAAATGATAAAAAATGGTGTAATTAAAATGTCAAACTGTCAAACCACAGATAAATACCTGTACAGTAAGCACATTATAATCACAAGATTCCACTCACATACACAGCATGTTTATACTGTAGTAACTATGACAGCCTTGAGATGATTGACAGCTAGATGTTGATAACATTCAGTGTCAATCCAAAGCATCTTCGACAGAGAAGCGGGAGCCAAGAATCCTGCTAATGAGGGCAGCATCCGTTCAGCTGTATTTAGCCTTTTCCAGTCCGTCATATGAGTTACTAGGCAACATGATATGGAAATCCTCATTCTCCCCTGCATGTGTAAATGGCTTGACTGTGCTAATATCAACCTGAGTTATTATTATTTAATATCTTGATATAGAGTTGTTTAGCAGTGTCACTCCAAAGCAGAGTAAGAGCACTTTTCTCCTCAGTCGACATGAAATGTAAAAAGACTTGGCTTTGGTGACACTTTGTTGATCAATAATGTTTAAATAGACCTGCATGTTAAGTACTTCATAAGTATCCACGGCAGACCAATTAGCCCTGCTGCAGCAGAACACTTCAACAGAAGCACCTAGTAAACAGGACTGTTCAAACACTATCGATTATCCAGGTTTAAAGACTGATGAAAGACTGTGTGTGTTTGATCTATGTGGTCAAACAGACCTACAAAACCACGTGTATATGAGCTCCACATCATCTGAAGAGTTTCCCTTTCAGCTTTAAAGAAATGAGGGTGAATAGATTTAGATTTTCAAAGTGAACTGAGTAACTCTGTTGCTATTCTGAATTTACACCTGTAAATTTTGCTCTCCACGTTCCATCAGCTCGATCCAGTTGACTGTACTTTCTTTCTTCTGAGAAACACAAAAGATGATATTGAAAAAAGCCTCACTGTTTTTGTCCCGACAGTGTTGTTTTATACTATATAGTTGAAATATTCTTCACCTTTGGTGTTTTGCAGAAGAAATGTGAATAAATGGTGACAATTTTCATTTTTCAGTCAGACTGCCATAACATTTAACAAGTTTTTATGGAGTTTAACTGAATAACAAAATCAAAAGAATAGGTTTTAATTTCCAAGCTGATTACTGGACTCACACTTACTCAACAAATAAAATAAAATAAAAATAAATGTCCACACACACAAAAAAAATCACTCATCTGTCCTCATCTGTAACATAGAAAAACCACAAATGAGATCTTTCTAAAGGCACAATTAAATCAAAAATGAAAATTGATCATTCAGTCTCCCTCATGTTCTTCCAAACCTATATACATTTTTTTCTTCCATAAAACACAAAAGAAGAATGTCCTTCTTTTCTCCATACAATTCCAAGAGCTCCAAAAAGAACCACAACATGGTCCACGTGACTCATGCACTCTATTCCAAGTCTTTGTAAGACATACAATGGTTTGGAAAATAGTGCAAGGAAAATAGTTTCCAGTATTTGAAGTAAAGCTGAAATAGCATATGTGTATATAGATTTAGGTCCCACTTTATATTAAGTGGCCTTAACTACTATGGCGGGTGTGGGGTGTTTTTGTATAAATGTATAAATGTATAAATGTAATACATGTATAAATGTAATACATGTATAAATGTAATTATACATTTAATTATAAATGTAATTACAGAAATTAATTACAGATGTAATTACATGCAGGTATTTTTAAAATATAAGTACAATGTAAAAACATGTATGTACACAATAAGTGCATTGTACCAAATGATTAATTTAAATGTAAGTACATAGTTGTTAAGGCCACTTAATATAAAGTGGGTCCTAGATTTATATATCAGTATGGTATGTGCTGGTTCACTAAATGGACAAGGAATGGAACAGACTCAAGCTGGACTGAAGCACACAGGAATCAGAAAGGAGTGATGAACAAACTGCCAATATTTTGTTTCTTTTCTAAATCAAAGACGCTGGAACATCATTTCAGATTGTTAGATCCAGGTTTAACCCCTGGTTTTACCCACAAGCCCTTCATCTCTTTGAACCACGTCCCTGTTGTGGAGGAAGAGAAACAGCATGGGCTAACTCACACTGTTACATACACGCAGTGTGAACGTGCTCAACAATGGCTGCCTGTTTTTAGCGCATTTCAGAGTCAATGGGCTTCGAACCAGCAGGATGGCTGGATTCATCCATACAAAACACCACTGAGAGTGACCAGATGAATTCTGGAGAAAGAAACGAGTTTTGTGAGGGGAACTTTTGTGAATGCTGAGGTACAGCACAGACTGTAAAGCTTTGAGAAGCAGATTTTGAGTTTTATGACCTGAGACACCAGAAAACTACCTTGTCTCCAGCAGAACATATGAAAGGAAAAAAAACTCAGCAGTCGGCTGTTCTCAGTGAGGAAGGTACATACACACAAACAAACAAACACACAGTCTGAAGAACAGCATGTCCCCAGAGTCAAATGGAGACAGATAATGTCCACACAAAATAATATGTCCTCATCTGTAACAAAGTAAAATTGCAAATGAGATCTCTTTAAAGGCAAAGTTCAGTCAAAAATGAAAATTGATCATTTAGTCTAACTCATGTTCTTCCAAACTTGAAATTTTCTTCCATGAAACACAAAAGAGGATTGTCCTTTTTTCCATACACTTCCAAGAGAACCATAAAAGTGGTCTTTGTAAGACTAGTGCTAGGAAAAAAAGGAGTTGTTAAATAGTTGACTGAAATGATCTCAACAATTTTTCTACATATAAAATAAAATAAAATAAAATATAGAAATATATAAAAAATGTAACTGAAAATTAACTGAAATAATGAGTAAATAATTGTATTTTCTAGAAAAATTACTGAAACTAAAATAGAAATAAAGCTATATAATAATAATAATAATAAAATCACATAAAACGACTACAACCTAAAATAAAATAAAAAATGAAAATATAAAAATAACAATGGTTTCATGGCTCTCAAAATTCATTTGCAGCTCGGCATCATAGACAACAAAATTAGTTCAAATCTGATGTATGGATGAGATTTCAGAGTGACAGAGGTTGAACAAACAACAACAACAATACTACAATAACTTTTCTTTGAATATCTCAGTTGGTTCTGTTAAACAATAAAGAGATTAAATAAAGAATTCTGCTGGAATTTCTCAGATTTTTTTGCCTTAGACCCTTACATGCGATCTTAAATCTATCAGGATCTCAACAAATTAAATACAATTAAATAGTCATAGATTTTAATACGAGCTAAAACATTTCACATCAAATTCTTGCAAATGCTCTCTTACTGTGCAGTATGTCAACAACTGTTTCATTTATGTCTTTATTTCTCTAAAGAAATGTTACCAGTAACCTCTAAGGCATAACATTTTCATCTGGGCAGCTGCTCTGCTTTGGTAGAGATACAAACAGGAGCAGAACACATCTAACAGTGAACAAAATAAAACATGTATAAGAGTAAGAAGTGTGTCTAGAAAGGCAGAATAAGGCAGGTGGTCTGTGATCTCCTGTGCTTGTGAATATGAATGAGATGTGTGTGTTGGCTCAGTAAACACATATTTGAACAGAATCCTGATGACTTGTGTTGGATCCCAGTGACAGACGCGTCTCCCTGCTGAGTCACGGGGCACAGCAGAGTTTAAATGAGCATATTGCTGTGTGTCTGGACTTCAGGGGGCTTTTCTCCTCTCGACCGAGGAGGACAGGTGCTTCACAGCTGTTCACAAAGCCAGTTCATTTCCTTTTTCTCCTTTACTTTTTTGCCACTATTGTGTAGACTAGAGATATGTCGTGATGGCAAGAGTTTATTTAGATTTTTTCTTACATACAGATATAATAACAATTAGTCAACTAGATGTTCAGGCTGTTTAAATGATTTTGAAGACGAGTTGTTTTGCACAGAAGACCAAGATCAAGCAGTGATGGTAAGATGAGTAGGGAAAAGGATCTCGAAATGTTGCAAGCCAGATTTAAACCCGAAATGTCACGTCAGCACCATATACTGTAGCACAGAGGACAAGGCTCTGACTTTTTCCCCTTTTTCCAAATGTTTGTTAAAGGTGTCAGGAGTGGCTGTGTGTTTGGCTTACTTGAAGAGCTCTTGTCTGGAGATGGCTCTGTTGGTGAGAGGGTCGATGGCGTACACCTGCAGGTCTGATTTGGTGTAGTCCTCAAGTTCATAACCTTCTCCGTGTCGCCGAGGGCCAATCGATTCCACTATCACTTTAGCACCAGGGATCTGATCTTGCACGTAGCGCTCCAAAATACTGGGCAGAAAAATGGGAAATGAAATTACTTTATCTACTTCAAACATTAAAATGAAAAACCCACTTACTTAATTTCTGATACTTCTACTTTACAATCTAATAAAAAAAAACAAGCACCGAAAACGATCTATTTTTGCTAAACCTAAAGGGTGAACCTCACAAAACATCCCAAAATTAAAAGAAAAAGGACATATTCAGTTCATTTTATTAATGTATATCACATTATATCACTGATTATTTTCCATTAATGATCATGACAATCATCTTGTCAGATTTTTATAAAAATCAGCATCAGTAAGTAAAACAGTTATAATAAATGCTTAAATATTTAAATAATGTGACTTTTCACATTAAGGTGATAGAGATATAAATATAATAGCTTTTTTCTTTTGATTTCGAAATATAACAGAGTTTGTGAATTCTTCCTATAACTCGTGCGTGAAGCATACAGAACACTGAATAAATGAAATTTTACTGTCTTCTAACTTTGCAATATATACACCTGACTAGTATTAAAAAAGCAATAATTTAGTATTTTATTATGATTATTCTGCAATCTACTGAGCAAAGTGGTTCTATTTTGCTTATTGAAATTTGTCATTTGAGCTCAATTCTGTGTTTTAACAATTGAGATGGCCTTTTAAAATCAAAGCAAGTGGGAAAACAAAGGCTGCTGACGGTGCAGGAAACAATTAAATGCCACTCAAGGAAAGCAGCAGTGCAGAGAAACACATCGAGGGAGGAATTCTCACCTAATCAGCTGCTCTTTATTCTCCTCCACCACAGTGGGCGGCACATTAGAGACCACAACCTGCATGTCCAAGGCATTGACAACGGACACCTACAACCCACACAGAATACGAAAGAGACAGAGGATTTGATTCATGTGGTGTAGTTTATATGCACAGGTGATACAGGGCAGGCCGACAGAGCTAAAAAAAAATGTTTCAGCATGATGATATTATATTTTCTCCAAAATGGCTTAAGAGTGATTTTTTTAAATCAGAGGAATGATAATTTCAAGCAAACATTTACTGTTACCAGGCAGATTTTTGCAACCATTTTTGCTGTTTAAAGCATCACAACTAAAACACAATTAAAAATCAAATTTAAACCTGAATATAAATCAAAAGTTGTAATATTTTGGGAAATGTTATGACATAAACGGTCAGGTGTTCTTGCTTCCATTGAAGCACTGGATGACCATCTGGTTCTTTACTGTATTTTTGATCAAATACATGCAACCATGGTGAGCATAAGAGACTATTTTCAAAAACATTAAAAAATCTTACTGTCCACAGACTTTTTATGGTGGTGTAATTTGCAATAAAAAATGTATTAAATTGATACACATCCCAAAATGAAAAGAAGTCATTTTTTCCTTATTTAAGATGCATGCATTTCACATTATCTTAACTGATTATTTTACATTAATGAACATGAGAATTGTCCTGTCAGATTTTATAAATAAAATCCGCTTTAAGACAATATTTAATATTTTAATACAATAATTAATAAATGCTAAAATATTTAAATAATGTGACTTTTTGTATTAGGGTGATAGGGTGATTTTGAAATATAACAGTGTGAGATTCTTCCTATAACTCATGCGTAAAGCATGCAGAACAGGTACTATACTGAATAAATTACATTTTACTGTCTCCAGTTTGCAATATGTATACCTGACTAGTATTAAAAAAGCAATCATTTTATCTTTTATTATGATTATTCTGCAATCTACTGAGCAAAGTGGTTCTATTTTGCTTATTGAAATTTGTCATTTGAGCTCAATTCTGTGTTTTAACAATTGAGATGGCCTTTTAAAATCAAAGCAAGTGGGAAAACAAAGGCTGCTGACGGTGCAGGAAACAATTAAATGCCACTCAAGGAAAGCAGCAGTGCAGAAAACGCACCGAGGGAGGAATTCTCACCTAATCAGCTGCTCTTTATTCTCCTCCACCACAGTGGGCGGCACATTAGAGACCACAACCTGCATGTCCAAGGCATTGACAACGGACACCTACAACCCACACAGAATACGAAAGAGACAGAGGATTTGATTCATGTGGTGTAGTTTATATGCACAGGTGATACAGGGCAGGCCGACAGAGCTAAAAAAAAATGTTTCAGCATGATGATATTATATTTTCTCCAAAATGGCTTAAGAGTGATTTTTTTAAATCAGAGGAATGATAATTTCAAGCAAACATTTACTGTTACCAGGCAGATTTTTGCAACCATTTTTGCTGTTTAAAGCATCACAACTAAAACACAATTAAAAATCAAATTTAAACCTGAATATAAATCAAAAGTTGTAATATTTTGGGAAATGTTATGACATAAACGGTCAGGTGTTCTTGCTTCCATTGAAGCACTGGATGACCATCTGGTTCTTTACTGTATTTTTGATCAAATACATGCAACCATGGTGAGCATAAGAGACTATTTTCAAAAACATTAAAAAATCTTACTGTCCACAGACTTTTTATGGTGGTGTAATTTGCAATAAAAAATGTATTAAATTGAAACAATTTTCACACTTTGTGAGTTAGACCCCACTGTATACCATCCAGCTTTAAAGTGCTATTTGTGGTTGTAATGGTCTTTAATTCAGTTCAATAAGGGTGTAGCATCCGGATGAATGCTTTCAGAATCACTTTCTACACCAGCAGAAAATTCTACTGCTAGTGGAAATTGAAAATGACACAAACATTATTGACATGTTTAAAACCCTTATGCACACATCAGTTCCAAAATCCCTCTTATTTTATTTGGCGTTCATTAGCCAAGAGATTTCCAGGAATTGCACAAGTCACTGGCTGCAACACTTCAGGAGATACAGCAGCATAAATAATTCAGCTGACACAAAAACAGTTTATTTATATATTCATTACTGCACTAAGTAGTGCACAAATACCATATGCACTCCCGCAAGCAAACATTTATTCAAACATATTGTATTTACCAAACTAAATCGACACTCTGGAGAGATATTTTCCCTTAATAACAGTGCTGATTGTTGTTATGCAATTTAGACACTTTTTAAATTATTCAGTCAGTGATTTGATTTGAACCCCAAACATTCATTTTGCATAACCAGAGGAGTGAGAGAAAATGTCATTTCTCAAAGTGACGTGTTTTGTGCTCGAATCATCGTTTTGCATGAGGTGCATGAACAAACATACAGGTCAAAGGTCACGTGCACTCACCACCACATCAGCCCTGCCGCTCAATCCCTCCCCATAGTTGTCTGTGGCGATGACCTCAAACTTGAAGTAGGACCGGCGCATGTTTCTGAACATGATGGCGCTCTTGATGATGCCAGTGTACGGCTCAATGACGAAACTGTCCTGCCCCTCGGGTGTGGGGGGGATGATCAGTCTGTAGGCCATCTTACTGTAGTTTCCCGTGTCGATATCTGTAGCCTGATACACATGCAGAAACATATATGAAAACGAATATGATTTTGAGAAATTCACATTATCTGGTTATTAGGTCTGTCAAGTGAATCGCACATCAATTTTCCCTGAAAAATTACCCCCCAAAAGATAAAGTCATTATTGTGTTAGATGAGAAAAGCTTTGAATAGACATTACAAAACAGAGCTTCAGAAAAAAAATATTTTGATTCAACCTTGCATAAAAATAATAAATATTAAAAGGTATTTAAGTTTTTGTTTTTTTTTAACATTTTATTTAAAAAAGTAATATTGAAATATGAAATGATGATATGATATATGATATTATGAAACTAAAACCACCAGTAGGTGGCGGCAAGTTACTGTCTTAACGAATGAGTCATTCAGTCATTCATTCAACCGATTTGTTCAAACAGCTGATTTCAAGAAAGTGACTTGCTTGCTTGCTGTGGCTTTGTTTGGAACTATTTTCACTTGCGAAAAAGAACAAAACAGAGAGTTTTGACAATATTGTTTCTAAAATGTAACAATATTAACTTGTTTATTGAATTATTGCTTAAAATTAATATACGTCAACAAATGTACTAATAATAACTTTAACACATTATTTTTCTTTAATCAATCGCACCAAACTAATGCATGAAATCGACAGAACTACTGGTTATATAAAAGAACTAGAAACTAGAATACTTTAAATGTAATAAAAAAAATAACATTTTGGCCGAACTATCACTTCAAAAGCCTTGCTGGAAGAAATAGAGAATTAAATACAAAAGCTCCACAGCTTCCACTTCAGTGATGACCTAGAAATGTAATAATCCCCATATATCATCAGATTGTACGCCTTAATGTTTTTTATAGTTGTTAAAAGACTCAATTTATGAGATAACGTTCACCTTGCAGTAGCCTAACACACAGATCCCGGTGGGTACTTTACAGGGGTCCATCACTTGTCTTCCACATTGTCCGAATGGAGAGGGAAGCTGTCTAAGCACAGTTACTAAGATGTGGGGGGAGGTGAGCAGATTTGAACAGCGAGAGAGAGATTGTACTCTAGTGTTGACAGGTGTGTCAGGATGTGAACAGCATGTTCTTCACTGTAAAAATGAAATATAATGTACTGCAGACACCAACACCAGCAGAACATTTCAAACCCCATGAATTAATCACCATTGTTCCAGTGTATTCTGCTGGTATTGTGCTTAACAGCACTACCACTCTAAATTTGAAAACACAACAAATCATATTTAACATTATGATTCTACAGTTAATGCAATGCCATATTTAGAGGCAAGTTTAAACAAATTTAGAAATTAGAATGATCTCTGAAGTATCAAGTGACACTGAAGACTGGAGTAATGGCTGTTGAAAATTCAGTATTGCATCACAGGAATAAATTACATTTTAAAATATATTAACAGAAAATTATTGTTTTTTAAATTGCAATAATATTTTACAATATTACAGTTTTTACAATATTTTTAAATGAATAAATGCAGCCTTAGTAAGCATAAGATTCTTTCAAAACTATTTCAAATGTACAGTATATGAATCTTCAATTATTATTCATTAAGTTGGTTCAAACTTTTATGCTTATAGATTTCTCTGTGGAACAAATAAGGAAATTTAAAAAAAAAATCTTGATGCCTCCATCCTACATATCTGAACTCTCGCTAAACCTGGACATTTTAGAAGCTGAATACAATTTCATATTACATTTCAGAGGTATTTCAGAGATTACGAGTAAATAAAAATATTTTAAAAACTTAAAATGTAGTATATAAGAACTATTTTTATAGTGTTTTGTCCGTTTTTGGTCCCTACAATCTGCCATTGCAAAATTTGTGAACAGTCTTCAAAATTTCTCTTTTTGTGTTCTGCACAAAGGCTGACATTAGCATAAGTAAAAAAAGATCAAATGTTTGTTTGGTCAATGGCGAGTGCCCACTTGCCTCCCTTCAACAAATCAGTCAGGACTACAGGGTGAGCGTTATGTCACCTAATTAATATTCATGAATCCAGCCTAAGGTTTATAATGTGCCCACATGATATTTCAGTTCGTTCCTACACTGCTGCCTAGGAATAAATAACACATATACTCACCACAACTTTCAGTACTGTGGTGAAGGTCTTAGTGTCTTCAGTCACTCCTCCGATGTAAAGAGACCTTGTGAAGACCGGAGGATGATCATTCTCATCCTGCACGTCGATAAATACCTTCGCCGTGTTCGCTAGTTATATTTAAACACACACACACACACAGAAGAAACAGACCTTAGTTTATGGAAATATAAGCCCTATTTGTCACAGTTTGAATAAAAAAGCCATTGTTAATGTAAACACACGCAGCCACTGCAACCCTCTCCACGCTGTGGCAGACGTGAGAAATATGCTCTGTCAGAAAACATTTGTCTTCTGCTGCACTAAACGACAATATATAAAGTCATCTGGTGTAGATCTAAGCACACACAGGGGAAAGCGCAGATGAAGAGCTGTATATCATAGCTCAATAAGAGAGAAAAAAAAGAAATGAAGAAAAGAAAAACAGGTGGGGAAGTGAGAGAGAGAAGGTGTGCCAGTCCTGTTATGTACAACAAAATTTACATCAAAGTTAAAACAAGACACATGGCAGGACAAATGCGCGCACACACACACACACACACACACACACACTCTCTCTCTCTCTCTCATGTTTGTGATTTGTACAGTTTTCCTATCAAAGGCTTGTGATGTGCTCAATGAACTTTAAATTTAACATGAAATGGAGTTTGCAACCCATTTTATTTCTGTAATGTGGCTTATCTCTGAGTGAATATTCAATGAGAAACACATTGAACAACAACAACAAAAAAATGTAGGACGGGATTTTTGCATCCACTGGGATTTGATTGAATCGTGATATATGGGCCTGATTTTGAGTTTGCAATCGGTTTTGGAAGACTCCTATTAATATACTGAAACACCCACATTTTTAGGAAGCCTCTTTACTCGACATATCCCAGTGGACATTATACTTTGTCATTTGCAGGACCAGAAAACATTTCCCACATTTTTTACTCAATTTTGGGAGGAAATCTGCAGAATGGATAATGGCTAAATGTGTTAAAGTTTGCCAATTTTCAACCAGCTTTGTATTGTTACAATGTAGGTTAGTATATAAACAATGTGTAATGTTTTTCATGTATGTCCCTTTGTCTCTGTTTTCTCTAGTCATGTAGCACAGATAAAAAAAACAAAAACAATTCTGCTGCATAGACAGACAACTTTTATTAAAACCCAAATCTTGCCAGCAGGGAATCACCTCTTCAAACAAGACTGAGAATACAACACTTTTATCGACAACTGAAAGCACGATCAAATCAGGGTTTTAAATGAAAAGTTGACACTGTCAATAATAAAAAAAGTTGTTTCAGAGGCGGAGCAAGTTATTCGATTTTGATGTCACATTTTTTTGGGCATGCACTGAAAAATCGTTCACAGTAAGACCACAAAAGGGTGTAAAATAAGCACATAGAGCCACACACAAAAAGCCACTCCTCTAAAATGGATGCATTTCATTAACATTGCTTTGTAATTCAATGTATGCGTGTGTGTTTCTGTGTCCATCTTAAAGCGATCTGAGCTGTATTCTGCTCTTGTCCTTCAGCACACATCTATGCAGTTTTAATGTACACAGACCGCTGGAGGAAGATCAGACCTCTCACAGGAAGAGGGAGATGTGCTCTGCTCTACCTGTGCTGTCTATCTTTCAACCTCAATAAACTGCATGAGCTCTACACTTATGACCTTTCCAATAACTCCTGCTCTAACGGAGATTCAGCACATGCATTACAGCACCAGAGAGCTGGTGATCTGCAGTACAGTGACATTTCCATAATTAAAGGTTGTGGTTTATCCTATTGCTGTTATTATTTTAAACAATAAATAACAATAACCAATTACAATAATGAACAAATATTTTGCCAAATAGCAAGTTCAGTTTCATTATCCTATTTTAATAATGTAGTAGGCGAGGCTCTTTATAATTACAAATCAACATTTTAAATAAAGAAATCACGTAAATTAGTTTAACGGCTAAACCTCATACCTAAAAACATATGCACTACCAGTCAGATTTTTAATGTTTTTTTTTTTTCCAAAGAATTCTCTTCTGCTCATCAAGCCTGCATTTATTTGATCCAAAATACAGCAAAAGCAGTAATATTGTGAAATATTTTTACTATTAAAAATAACTGCTTTCTATTTGAATATATTTGGGTTATATAAATTAATACTTTTATTTAGCAATGATGCTTTAAATTGATCAAAAGTGATGATAAAGACATTTATAATATTACAAAAGATTTTTGTAAAGATTGCATTATAGTAATATGCATATGGAGGGATATGTGCTTAATGGTTACGAAAATAACGTCTCCATTAAAAAATTGTAGTAGTCCTAAAAATTGGCTTCAATTTCTTATTTCACCCCAAATATGATAAAAAAGAAAAATTTTGGTTTCATGAGGTTTAGAATTTCATTTGAAATGTGTGGTCATATGTGTCTGTATATATATCAGCATAAAATGTTTTGTATCTGTCATTTATTTCACTCTAAATTTGTAAAGTCCTCAAATAAAATCCTTAGAAAAGATGAAGTGTGCTTCAGTGTTGTTCTTACTTTTGGAGGGAGCGCGTAGACTGGCGAGGATGATGGCGAGGGAGTCGGCCTGCACGCGGAGCACATAACTGGTCACGCTCTCGTAGTCCAGAAGTTTATTTGTGTAGATGATCCCAGTGCGGTTATTGACCATGAACTCACCTGCAAACACAAACTGATCAGAGAACGGTTCACAGCGCCTTTAACTCCAATGATGACTAGTAATTCAGGGTTCAACCCTCTACATTGCGAGTAAATCACTCGCATATGCGACTAAATCTTACTCTGGGCGACTAAATAATGTCTAACATTAGCCATTGGCTAATAAATTCTTAGATTTTACACGCCAGTATGCAGAGGTGGGGGCAAGTCACACATGTTCAAGTCTCAAGCAAGTCTATCAGTCTGGCGAGTAAACAAAAAAAATGTACTAGCCAATGGCGATTATATTGCCACGGTGTGCGTAGAGGGTTGGGGTTGTATCTTATTCACTAATCACCTGCAGTCCAACTCAACCAGGAAAACAATGCGCTGCTTAGTTCTAAATTTTATTCTGTTTTGTGTCAAAGAATCACATTTGCACACAGGTTTAGTGAATTCCCTTCAGAGTGAAAACTCACCTCCTTCATTTCCGCTCACTATGGAGTAAAAGACAGTGGTGTTGACGGCTGCGGCCAGAATCATTCCCACAGGCGTCCCGACAGGAGCGCTCTCACTCACCGGACTAAACCTGCAGAAATAAAGCAGAGCAAATGACAAACTTCATTCAGCATTTACAACACACAGCTGAGTGCGGTGGAGAACTGTCAGTTCCAGCGCAGTTACTGTGACATAAATGTCAGTTTCCTGTTGAATATTGTATAAATATCAGAGCAGTTCAATAGGCCCTCCACCTCCACAAAAGACCTACAGAAAGTGCAGAAAGAATAGAAGGACTTTGCTTTAAGAAGTGAAAGGGTTTAATTACTGTATTTAAAAGCAACACACATGAATCACGGGTCTAAAGAAAAATCCATTTCTAAAGCTTTTGTCTACAACATGAGCTGACCTCTGAGGCCAGCGATTCTCAACTGAAGGGTAAATGTTTAATGCAAATAATAAAATGCTAAAACTAGTTTGGTTAGAAAAATAAATACACTTTTAAAGGGGAAGAAAAATAATTTTTGTGGTTGATGTCAAGCACTCAAACCATATACATTACTGTTCAGAAGTTGGTGGTCTGTAGGGCTGCACGATTAATCGAACACGAACATTAATCGCGATTGTCATGCACATTTTGTCAGTAAACCCGGTTCTGTGATTAGTAGTAAATCTCCATCACCTGATTTCAGATAGAGCAGCATTTACTACACAGAGCCTAGTTCTCTGACAAGCTATGCAAAATCGCGTTCATAATCGCAGACGATATAATCGTAGGATTATGAAATCGACGAAATCGTTCGCGATAAGGACAGTGCATTATAAATATACTTTATTTTAATGAAAATTATAATAAGAACTCAGATAAACCGTATATTGCTGTAGTCGTGTGTTTATTAATCACGTTGAATCAATGAAAGCAGTTAAATCTTCTGTTTATTTAGCTGCAGCGATAGGCATTTCCTGGATTTCTTCTTCGGGTCATATTTGGAGTTTCAGCGCGAGAGCGCCCTCTGGCATTTGGATGGAGATTTACTGCTGATCACAGAACTGTGCTTCACTGAAAGATACGCATGACAACCGCAGCTTCTGCCTAATCGCAATTTATTGCCTTTGCGATTTAATTCCGATTAATTGTGCAGCCCTAGTGGTCTGTATGGTTTTATTTATTTATTTTTTGAGAGAGAAATTATCACTTTTATTCAACAAGGATGCGTTAATTATTCAAAAGTGGCAGTAAACATTTACATTGCTACAAAATATTTATTTCAAATGAATGCTGTTGTTTCTGACTTTCTATTCATCAGAGGATCCTAAAAATACATAAAAAAATGTTAAGCAGTACAACTGCTTGATCATGAAGGATCATGTGACACTGAAGATTGTAGTAACAATGCTGAAAATTCATTTTAATACACACACATACATACATATATATAGGGCTGGACGATATGGCCAAAATTGATATCACAATATATTTCTTAATGTCGGTCGATACGATATAATTCCGATATCGATATGAACACTATTTATCTGAAATAGAAATCTTTTGTAACATTATAAATGCCTTTATCATCACTTTTGATAAATTTTAAGCATCCTTGCTA